AGGTGAATCATTTGTGATAATGGTATTAACCTGGGCCAAATCTTCGATTGACTCTGTTGAGTAAAAGAATACCAGTTTGAGAAATTATCTGAAGTAGATTGCAAAAGTTGGTTAACCAGAGTCTCTGTCAAGCAGTGGTGCATTACTTTCAGTTGGTCCCAAGGGACGTATTGCTTCAAGTATTTGCTCGAGAATGAAGCAGTTCAAGTCGAGAAGTATGGTTGTGAAGTAACCTACTTTCAAGACATAAGCCAACAACTCTAAGGTTATGTTGTCTTCAAAAATCCTCAAGTTTCTCATCCCTCTGTGAGCATGAGGTAAAGGAAAAGGTTTGTCGAGATTCTGTTAAGCAGGGGCAAGCGTGTTGAATACTCTGTCGAGTAGGTATTCAGTTAATCTGAGGCATTCAAGTCGGGATTTTATCCCTCAAAATGCAGTCAAACTGGGGCAGTTATACTAATATTTGACGAATCTCTCTGAGAATGCGTTGATAAGAGGAGAATATTCCCAGAATTTGAAGATGTATGGGTATTCACTTAAGCATAGTTGGAGTCATCTGCAATTTTGGTTACCTAAACATCATGTTGCAAAGTCCATAACAATGGGGCAGATTGTCTTCAATAGCATAAATCTCAAAAAGTCCTCTCAAGGCATTTTTTCTGCAAAAGCCTTATAGACTGGGGCAAGAATTTATGTAAGGGGTTTCTCTCTTCTTCAGTAGTTGATCAGATCAAGTCCATACGCAGGCTAAGTGACCTGTGAATTTGAAAATCATGCCGAGAAGTCATCACTGTTATCTTCGACTTACCAGAGACTCAAGTCTATTTGCTGATATCCTTTGACCTAAGTCAAGGGTATTATCCCCAGTCGAAGTTTGGATTGTTATCCTCAGTAGGATATGAGCAGTAACACAAAGATCATTTGGGTTTTTTTACTCGTACAAGACGTGATGGAAATATTGCTTCCTAGGGGGATGCCTACTCCCAGCAAAAGACCTGTTGCTACTTGACATAGACCTATCTACCAAGGGGTTTCTCTTCTGAGATATTTTCTCCCCATCGAAGCATCCTCATTTCTCTGCAGGAGGAGAATGTTCTTTCTCCCTGGAAATGTAGAAGTTGTTTAAAGTCTATATGATTCCTTTTCGTCGGACTGCAATTTATTTTTGCAGCATCTTCTCTAAAAGTCCCCTTTTAGTAGCATTTCTCCTCGGAGTCGACATGTTGAAGTCGCAATCTTGCATTGCGGTTTTTACCCGGTGGTTGATGGTTCAAATTGTCTATTCTTCAGTATGGTTTTCCATTCCAAACAGGGGAATGTCGCCTCAACTTCTGTTTTTGCAAGTGCTATTGGTCTTTTATGACAAGAAGCATACCAACAAATGAATCAAGAAGGGTCTGTATGTGACCAACATGAGGATTTTCGTATAATGAGATCCAATTTCCCCAGTGGAACTATTCTTCTTTCCATAGTGGAGCAAGTGTCATATCTTTCTAGTGAGGTGTACAGGAGAATTCCAGTCATGACTCTTTCGTTACCAGTGGTAGAAGATTTTGTTGAGATATCCCTATTGGAGTTTTTATCCCAGGATGTTTGCTTCTTCCTCAAGTGAGGATCTTTTACCTCCCAACAACATTATCCCCAGTTTGGTCTGAGTAGAATTCTTCTTATTTAAGAATTTCTATACTCCCCCAACAGAAGTTATCTTCGTCAAAGAGTTTCTATGCCAGAAGTTTCCATTCCCAGCAAAGCTTTTTCCAACAGAGAATAAAGAACTTATTCCTCGTGAAGTGGGGAGTTTGATCAGAATTCAAGATTTTCTCTGAACCGCAATTTATGTTTGCAGTATTCTTCCCAAGAAGTTGCCTCCCCAGTAATATCGATCTTTAGAGGTTGGTGGTTCCAAATCTCGGTTCCCCATTTGAAGTACAAATTGCCTTTCTCTACAGAAGATCAGATATGCAAGAATAATCGTTCGGAAGTTCATTGTCTTCTCAGCAACCGATTATTGATGTGTTCTCCTAGTGCATTACTAAACATGCATCATTACATTGCATCTATCAAAACGCGTAGCATTTCCATTGTATGGAGCATTACGCTATAAAAAAAATTCAAACATGCATGAGTATAAGCCAGTTGTGTTTACTTGCAGTAACGAGATTGTTATGCGTTCAGATTTGAGCTATCTCCACAAGAGGCCTATGGTGATTCTATTTTGTTTGCCCAGCTAAGGATGTTTGATCTACCACCAGTCGAGTCTTTGGTATTTCCCATTGTCTTACTAAGTCGTCATTCTCTCTTACCCTTGCAAGCCTTTGGTTATATATGTCCTTTCCTCCGGACATATTTTCCCAATATTTTTGGTTATACGCCCTTTCCTCCGGACGTATATTTCTTGATATATCCTTGGTTATAGTCCTTTCCTCCGGCCTCTTTCCTTATTACGTATCCGCTATCGACCCCGAATATGTATCTTTGATATCTCTTTCGTACGTATCCGCTACCGACTCCGGATATGTATCTTTGATATCTCTTTCGTATGTATCTGCTACCGACCCCGGATATGTATCTTTGATATCTCTTTCTTACGTATCCAATACCGACCATAGATATGTATTTTTAATACCTATTTCATATGTCTGCTACCAACACCAAACATGTGTTCTTGATATCTTTGCAGGAGCTTCCTTTGGTCTGTCTCTTTCTTACGTATCTGATATCGACCATAGATATGTATTTTTGATACTTGTTTCATATGTCTGCTACCAACCCCAGACATGTGTTCTTGATATCTTTGCAGGAGCTTTCTTCAGTCTGTCTCTTTCTTACGTATCTGATACCGACCACGGATATGTTTTTTTGATACCTGTTTCATATGTCTGCTACCAACCCCAGACATGTGTTCTTGATATCTTTGTAAGAGCTTTCTTCGGTCTGTCTCTTTCTTGCGTAACTGATACCGACCATGGATATGTATTTTTGATACCTATTTCATATGTCTGCTACCAACCCCAGACATGTGTTCTTGATATCTTTGTAAGAGATTTCTTCGGTCTGTCTCTTTCTTACGTATCCGATACCGACCACGGATATGTATTTTTGATACCTGTTTCATATGTCTGCTACCAACCCCAGACATGTGTTCTTGATATCTTTGTGAGAGCTTTCTTCGGTCTGTCTCTTTCTTATGTATCCGATACTGACCACAGATATGTATTTTTGATACCTGTTTCATATGTCTGCTACCAACCCCAGACATGTGTTCTTGATATTTTTGTAAGATCTTTCTTCGGTCTGTCTCTTTCTTACGTATCCGATACCGACCACGGATATGTATTTTTGATACTTGTTTCATATGTCTGCTACCAACCCCAGACATGTGTTCTTGATATCTTTTTGAGAGCTTTCTTCGGTCTGTCTCTTTCTTATGTATCTGATACTGACCACAGATATGTATTTTTGATACCTGTTTCATATGTCTGCTACCAACCCCAGACATGTGTTCTTGATATCTTTGTGAGAGATTTCTTCGGTCTGTCTCTTTCTTACGTATCTGATACCGACCCCGGATATGTATCTGTTATATCTGTTTCATACGTATCCACTACCGACCCTGGATATGTATCTTTGATACCTCTTTCGTATGTCTTCTACTGACTTCAGACATGTATCTTTTGATATCTTTCTTACAGGTGTTTGTTACTAAATCCCAACAAATGTTCCTCGATAACCAAGTTATTCTTCTGTGTGTCAAACTCTGGTTGAATATACATCTAACCCAGATAACCCCTTTAACATAGAAAACAAGATATATATATATATATAGAAAGTACGGAAAACCAAATATATAATGTATTCCTGATTGACTTCGGAGCGTAAATTTTCGGTTTCTTTTAGTATTTAATCTTCTTCCACCCTGAAAGTTTGAAAGGCTGATGCCAATCTCACCTTCAGGTTGAAGGATATTAAATAGGGGCAGTTGTTGCACCCTAAAATTTTCCCTCCTAAATTTCTCTTATTATGGCTTAGACTTTGCATTCATATGCATCATTCCAATAGGCCATGTGCATAGCACGCCTTTTCATAAAATTGGATCACCTGAGGTTCAAAAGATCAACAGTTAGGGAGCTAGGGTTACATCTGATTTGAGGTGTATGGGTTGAATAAGTCTGATTATTCAGGGTCTTCCTGGTATACAAGACTGTGAATTAGGGTTTTGGGAGCATGTTCATTTTTGGACTTCTTCTTCATCCAGTTTCATCAGTTCTAGAGGTTAGTGTTTATTTCCCTATGTCAGGCCAAAGAATCGGGGTTTCTATTCATTGATAAATGTTGTGTAATTAAAGATCAGGGGAAATCAAGTTTCATGGTAGTCTTGATCATACTCTTTCATTATTTTCTATGCCCGTCTTTGATGATTCAAGGTCGTCAATTAGGGAAGGACTTCGTCAAGATTTATGGATTGAATCGGGAAATATGAGTCATGATATAAAAGGAAAGGTTATGAATTCTTTAGGATCGAGATCTTATTGTCCATTAAAATTACTTATCATACAAGTGGATTTGGATTCAAGATTGAAGTTTTGATTTAATATTTGAATTTGATTCGATTTTGCTATTGTGAATTATCCATCACGATGACTACTTAGTTCCATGAGGTCAGAATCCGCAAGTATGGAGTGCCTGGAATTACAAAAGCAAAGTGCATCATGACTTAAGGTGCAAGGAATTCAGCATATCCATTCATTTTGTCTTTGAATATCACAAGCCCATTCAATTTCAAATACCAAGTATAGCCTTCACCACTTAAGTTTTACAATGATTATCATTTACAAATCACAAATCCAATTTACAAAAAAAAAAAGAAACCATGATTGGTATGTCCGAACATCATACAAAAAATGTACTGCACAAACTTTTTTTTGTTAAACTTAAAATTCTAAATACCCTAACATCATTCATTCCATGTTCATGTCAATCACTCGTCTTCAAATTCCCTCTCATTTAGCACAGAATGCAGACTGATTGGCTTTGGCTAGCGCCTCATGTCGTCTTCTCAAACTTCCTTGACTCCAATTTTGAGCCATCCTCAAGCTCCTGTAGCCCTGTTTCAGACATAATCGAATCATTCAATCAAGGGCCAATTCATAATAAACTTGTGTTCAATCAAACTCAACAGGCCCTGCATATATTACATAAGAGAATTGATCGTGCAATTCAAATGCATAATTCTGGGAAAAGCATTTACAACATTTAAGGAACTTATCTGATGCTTACAAAAAACCACTGTCCAAAGCAGGGCGACAGTTCAAGTCTAAACTTGATCACTTCAAGGAAGTTGAGTTGGATGCGTTACATTTTGTTGTTGAAGCGGTAAGTGCCAGATTGAGAAGGCATATGCAAGCTTCAAAAGTTAGTCAACAGAAGAAATATCAGGGAAGGAAGTTTGTGCTGAAGATCACCAGATATCAATACTCAAATCATCACTTGAAGAAACTTTCACTTATAAATACTGAAATAGAAGAAAGTCAAAAAAAATTAATGTCTTACATGCACTCATTAACAGAAATCATAAAGGAATTTTCTAAAATCAAGACCAGCACACAAAGAACTGAGTCAGTATCTCCATTTTTGAAAATAATGCCAACTCAACACCTCCTAACTGTACAAACAGAAGAAGCCTATTTTCCTGAATCACTAATCTTCTAACCACCTAACTAATTCCATAACAGCTCTAATCCTAACTGTCCACGGGATCAAAAGCATAAACCCAAATTTCCTTCAACCTCTGGCTAACTTTCAAAACAAACAACAGAAAAAAGCAACTAACAGAAAAAATAACTAACTCTAACAAACTCTAACTGTTCTAACAGAAATCCAAACAGAGTTAAAGTACCCTGCATCTAACAGATTCTTTCAAGCAAACTTCTAAAAAAAAAACAACTACTAACATTCAATAACAGGAAAAACCAACTAACAACGCTACTACTAGCAAATTTATACCTTCTAACTGCAAGTTAACAGATAACTAACAGAATCACAACTACCTTCTAACTGAATCCATTTTGACCCTCCACTCTCTAACATAATCTCACCAATCCAATGGCTAGAGCTCCTTCTCCCATAACTGAATCTCAATCTCATTCAACTATATAACTGCTCCCTCACCTTCATTCAAGGGACGACCATTTTTCTTTTCTCAGTTTCAATCTTCACCTCAATCTCTCATCTTCTTCCTTATCACTCTTAATTTCACTCTCATATCCATTCTTCTCTTTCTTTAACATTCACCTTTACTTCATTTCCACGGCCTCTCGCCATCTCCAACATAACCACCATTTTTAAGACTCTCTCCATCTGAACCGATTCCCTCAATTCTCCCGTCATCTTCCTCACAGAAATTCTACAATCTTCATCATCCTCACCATACCTCAAACACTCACGAACTTAGGTTCCCACCTTGCAACAACCGCTAACGCAACACAATCGTGTCGTCTCTGTCACGATCACAGAATTAGGATGAATAAGAATTGAGAAAAGTAAAATCTTACGAAGAAAAGAAGATAAAGGAGAATATATACCTGAGCTTGTGGAACCTCATCTCTGGATTTCTAAGCATCACCCCCAAAGGGTTCAGACGCCACCGAAGCATCTCTAGTAAGCCAGCACCGTTCCTCCTCTTTTCTCCATGTTTTTCTTTTCTTCCTCATTATTGTCACAGTATAGAGAAGGTGATGAAGAGCAAAGATGCTAAGGTCACAGCCATATCCTTCTGAAGGATGACTCTCTGTAGATCAAGATCTATGATTAGGGTTTTTTTAGAATGGTTTGAAGTTGTTGACAATAAGAGGGAAGTTTGAGAAATATGCCATGCTTGAGAGGGGAGTACGACATTGAAGGTTGGAATCCCAAAGAAGTGGTGTGAGGGAGATGAAGGTCACGACGGCGGGTTATGTTCGCTGGAGAGGAGAAGGAGTTTGCTTAAGAACGATTTGCATTAGCCCTAACTTTGATTGAACCAAAACGCAACCTATCATCTCACACTTTTTATTCATTTTTTTTATTTTTGAGTTGTTGTTTAAAGAAAAAATAAACAATGAAATTGAGTGGACCAGACCGTCTTCCAGGCCTGCTTACCATTATTTTTGTAAGCCCGATTTGGAGATATCCTAGAGTAACTACAAAAAAAATCTGTTTGGACTCCTGAATGGGCTAGTGCGTTTTTGGTAGGTTGGACCAAACATGGTTGCTGAGTCTTTACCCCATAGTCTGCCTTCACACCCCCTGGATTTATTCTTTCAGTATCTTCTTTTAAATAATTTTGTAGATTGATTAGACTTGTTTCAACCTTTTTTTTACATGATAAAAAATAATAAAATCAATAACAATTTGGTTTTTTTATATTATTATTTTGACTTTAGGAAATTAAATTCCGATTATCCGATTATTAGAATTCGTGATTTACCTTCGCTTTTTAAGGTTAGAATCTTATGCAGGATATGCGGGCATGCTTGAGTTTTTGATCGTGATTTATTTTCACATCAATGACGCTTCGGCACCTGTACTATGTATTCAATTTCTAACTCTTTTCTTTGTTGGTGCTAGCAGCTCGCGAGATCACCGGGTTCTTTGCTTTTTGCTTTGCTCTACAGACTAGTACTTGTTTGGTATATGTTCTTTCTACTTTCTCTTCAAAATAAACTATAAGACCACCATCGTATGATAGTATTAGAAATAGATTTAGGTTAGTCTCCCTTTAGACTTTTCTTTCCCCTTTTGCATTTTTGCATTAAAACGAAAACTTATTTTTCTTACAAAATCCTAAAAATACTTAAAAAAATTTACTGACGAGGATCATATCTTTGTTAAGTTTAAGAGATGATAAGCAGGTTTCTTCTCGACCTTATTATTCTCTTATTCTAAGCTTTGGTGTGGTTCAAGTCTCAGACTTATTTCATGAATAAGTAGAGAAATGGCTAATATCTCTCTCTTGAGATTAATTAGCTGTTATCCACAAGCAAAAACACCAACCAATACAAACTCTTTTTGCCTTCAGGCCTTTATTTCAAAACCTTTTCAAAAGGACATGTTAATTCACTTCTGTGCTGACGCGTAAGTCTCCAAAGGTCGAGTTGCGGCAGAAGGCCAAATTAATATTGTTCATTAAAAAATACAAACCAACAAAAACATATGAGCCGAACTACAGCTGCTCTGATTCCTTAAAAGGGATACGTAGGCATCGGGGTAGAGCCCGAACAAGCACAACTTTTATTTTCCCTACATTCTTTTCTCCTTTCTTTTGCATGCATTCTCCCTTCAGTGGTATAGTAAATGGTAAGCATAGATTAAGCACACCCATAAGATAGACAACAAGAGTGGATATCATAGAGTACTACAGGCGTGTGGGGTGCTAATATCTTCCCCTCGCGTAACAAACTTCCTTACCTGTATCTCTTGGTCGTTCGACCTTGACTTCTCCCTTCTCAGGTTTTCTCGATTTTTACCTTTCCCTTCCTGTGGGATAAAAGACGTTCGATGGCGACTTCATTGTTTGGTGATTTTCAGCCGGTTGTTTCAATTTTCAATCCACATTCCCTCATTCTAATCAAATATTGTCTAAGATGGTCTAAATGACCAGCTCTCGAGGGTGATTTGACTACAATGTTATCAATGTACACCTGCATGAAGGTGTTTATGAAATCATGAAACATTGAGTTCATTTCTCTTTGATAAGTCGCCCATGCGTTTTTCAAACCAAAAGGCATGACGATCCACTCATATGTGCCTAACGTCCCAAGGCTTTAAAATGCAGTTTTGTAGGTATCATCTTCAGTTATGAAAATTTGATTATAGCCTGAATATCCATCCAAAAGACTTAAGTATTCATATCATGTGGCCGAATCGACCAACATTTCTGCCACAGGAATTGTATATTCGTCCTTTGGGGTGGCTTTACTTAAATCCCTAAAGTCTATGCAAATTCTCAAATTTCCATTTTTCTTTATTACATGGACTATATTAGCTAACCATTCAGCATACATGACTGTCTTGATGAACTTTCTCTTTAACAACCATTTGATCTCTACTTTGATTTTGGGAAGCACTTCTGGCGTGAACCTCCTTGGCATTTGCTTGATTGGTCGTTTACCTGGACTTATAGGCAACTTCATCTCCACCATTTGTCTACCCAAACCAGGCATCTCATTGTAATCCCATGCAAATCAGTCCTTGAATTCTTTAAGTAATTCGATCACTTGATCCTTCGTCTGGTTGTCGATCTTGGTGCTGATGTAGGTAATTCTCTTAATCAAACCATCACCCAAGTCGGCTTCCTCCAAAGGATCTTGTGCTTGCATCTTCAAAGCATTGTCTCTTGGATATTTCTCAAACCCCAAAGGCTCTTCTTTGTATATACAATCAAGCCACTGGCTTTTTGAAGCTGTTTTTTGGCTCGTGTCACCAAGATCTTCCACCATGATGGCTTCAGGTGCTATATTTGAAACATCATCAGCCTCTAAAGTCGTGTTTATTCTATTTTCGACCATATAGACCAATATCCTTACCAGAGCATTCACCTCAGGCATCATCATGATTTCGTCCTTCTTCTCACCCAGTGGGCTCAAACTCCCCTTCTGCAGCTGGATATGTGTCCAACTTTTCTTGGTCCAAAATAAAACAATGAGTGGGGTGTGAAGTCAAGAAATTGATCGCATCAGGAAGCATCTTGAAAATTGCATCTTCTGGGCCACCCAGTGGTATAGTTGCAAATGCTTTGTCAAATTCCAATTCACCACCTTTGCATCAGTAGTAAAATAGCTATGATCTGCCTCTATGTTTTTGACGATCCCATCCTGACGTCATATGGACACACATTGATGTAGGGTTGATGGCACCGCCCTTATTCCATGTATCTATTCGCGCCCCAAAAACACGTTAAAATTTGCCTTTGACGTTATCACCATGAATAACATTGGCCTTGAAGTCGAGCCAACTGACAGACTTAATTGAATCACAACCAAGATGTGACTTGTCTTTCCTTTATAATTCAACAGGACCATATTGTGTGGTTTAAGGTCTGTGTCGAACTTACCAATTTTCGCAAGCAATGACTATGGCATCAAATTAACTACAGTGCCACCATCAACGAACACCTTGTTCATTGGGAATCCATCAACCTTAGCCCTTATGAATAAAGGTTTGAGATGATACATCATGTCTGATGTAGGTTTCTCAAACATTGCATGTTGCTCTTCTACCACCCCATTGTTCATGAAATAGTAACATAGAGGTTTTTGACCTACTCATTCCTCACACATGCTTCTTCCTCATCCCCAGATGCCTTTGAGGCAAACCCATATTTATTTGACAAAACTGACACAATATTGCAATGGATTATCAAATCTTCCTCTAAATTATCTTCAAAACTGCCTGATACTTCATCATTCATGTTTTCATCAGCAAGTTCTTCAACCTTCGCTGGCGATGCATTCATAATTGGCATCGACAACCTCTCTTTGGACGGTCGAGGTTGTACTTCTTTCTTGCTGCTTTCACCCTTTTATGGACCAAATTTTGTTGCAGCCTCTTCTGCCAATTTCTTATTCCTCTGAAACCTCCTCCGTTGGGTCTTCATCATAGGATTCTTCCCTTTGTAGGTGGGAGGAACATGGTATTTCTTTGAAACGATCAAAGTTTCAGAAAGTTGGGTTGAACTAGATCCTTTTTACATCATATCCCATTTGTGAGTTGAACCTGACCCTTTTTTCACCACCTTCTAGTTCTAGTTTTCCCCCTAGGATAAAAGGATCAAACCCAGTTATTGTTGTGCACATCAGTTGGTGGCACAAATGTACTCAGATATGGAAACTTGGGTTTCTCTTGAGGTACTTGAACATTTTTTGGCCCCTTAGCATGGTCGAACACCACTTTTGGATTTTCTCCTTGATAGTGCTTTTTCTTCAGCACCTCAATCTTCTTTGCAGCTTCTTCTTCATATATCACATTACAATTTGCGCATAACATAGATCTAGAATTACTCAGCTTACATATGTTCAGAAAATCTACCAATTCCTCTTCAGGTTTAGGAAACACAACCTTCATCAATTTAGCCATTGTTTCCTCAGACAATTCTTCATCCTTACAGTCCATTTTTGCTTTGTCGTCCTGGTCACCTTTAGGCTTTTCAGCAAAATCAACCATCATCACTTCATGTGGTTTAGACAAATTTCCATTGCCACTTTTGAGACCCTCAGTATCCTCGACTGTTGTAGCCACAGTCGGTTCGTCTTCAAGACCATCCATAGCCTTGAGCGTCAATGTTGCTAGTGGGTTAATAGTGTCTACATGTTCGTCTATGAGGCCCTCAGTAGCCTCCATCATCAGCACTT